TCAATAATACTTCTGACTTCAGATCAGTTACTCACTATCTACGCACACATTACATTCCCCTCTTTTATATACCAGCCTACCCTATCTAGCAAATACTAGAGCATTCCTGAAAGAACAAGATAGTTTTAGAAACTAGAGGGCGCCACACCAGTCACGTGACCTCGATGACGCAACAGTATAAATACAATTTTCCCCTTCAGTGCAGTGTACCACGGTATGGTACTTGCCTATACACAGTTTACCGAGAAATGGGGCCGACGCCCGTTTAAACACTTATGATTGCGGTAAGAATATTGATTTCGCTGTTAACTTGTATATAGATATGGCGGCTTGTAGAAATAATTTAATTTGTAGTCCAAAAGGAGATTTCGCTTCAACCCGACTCCCTGGTGATGCCTCTGACGACATTAAATAAATTCGCATTATATTAACTAGATTAGATTATTTTTTAATTGAAGAAACTAATCCCAGTAGTAAAAAATACTAAACAATTCAGCAATAGAGAGGTATTTAGAATATTTTGTTTTAAATAAAGTCTCCTGGTGGGTCATCTGTAAGTTTACAGACTTACAACTTTAATATCTGGAGTTCGATTCCCCACAGTAAAAGTACTGCAGATAGTTCATTGTGTATCTTTGTGTTAAAACAAAGACACAAAATTTCAAGTACTGGTTATCAGACAAAATTTACTTCGCCAAATGGAGTATAGTATTATATCATAACACTTAATTACACATACTCAAAAGCTCCCCAGTGGCACAGCGGTATGTCTGCTGACTTACAATGCTAGAAACCGGGTTTCGATACCAGTGGTGGGCAGAGCACAGATAGCCCATCGTGTAGCTTTGTGCTTAACTTCAAACAAACATATTCAGAATCAAAAAGGAGCTTGGACGTTAATACAAGACAATCCTAAGTAACAAACTGACTATGAATAGTTAATTATAATTCAATAAAACAATACACAAGAAAACTAAAATAGGTCATCAGCAGGCTACCTTCGATATTTTTAAATATAACGCCAATAGCATCTCAAGAATTCGTCGGTTTAATAGGTTTAAGTTAGCCCTACATTCGAATAATGAGCCGACAACTAATGTCACTTTGTTCTACGATCATTAAATCTACGAAGTATTTGAAACCAACAGCTAGTATTTGTGTGTTCTGTAAGTATGGTACATAATATTATTTCTTTATTGTTATTTTTATTAATTGTAGTGGCTAAAATGTTTAATATGTCTATTATTAGTATATTAGTATATTTTTATTATAGTGCTTGTTTTGCATTCTTAGCTTAATATATGCGTTTTGGTCCCTCAATGGATCAGCGGTAAGTTTACAGACTTACAACGCTAAAATCGGGAGTTTGATTCCAGCGTGGTGTACAGAGTGCAGATGGCCCACTAATTGTGTAGCGTTGCACTAAAAAAAGTAACAATAACAAACAATACGCATTTAGAACTAACCTAAATCTTCTAGTTCGGCAGGACCTCGTGAGATGTTATTGGGTTTACGATGTAAAATATCATTAATAGCGAGGGTACCCGATTGATGAAATAATGCATCAAAATATTTTTAAGTATGAACGTAGCCCCCCCCCCCCAGTGGCACAGCGGTATTAATGCGGTTTCGATACCCGTGGTGGGCAGAGTACAGATAGCCCATTGTGTTGCTTTGCGTTTAATTGCAAATAAAAAAAAAGTATGAACGTAAAAAAAAGTATACTTAATCATCTATACTCATGACCAAGTTGATTTTTTTGTTTTGGTCTAACAGTCTAAATATGTAGCTTGCTTTAATCGGAAGTTAATGTTAGTATAAAGTAATTTTCATAAATGTAAAACTTTTAAATATTTGAATAATTTAAGCATTATAAAAACTTATTAAAGAAACTAACGTTAGAGAAAATTAATTATGTGGTTACTCACGAATTTGATTACCGCAAAAGCTAAAGGGATATCTTTGCAACTCTGTAACAAAACTTTAAAGAATATTCCTGGGTGCTAATAAACACTCAAGATCAAGTTTTGTTATACTTAGGTTCCTCACTTAATTTGAGTGGTTATCTGTTAAAAATTAAACGACTTCAAAAAATATTTAATTTATTTATAATGATATACATATATAGTTATAAAAAATACATTACTCTTAGTCTTGGTTTCTTACAATCTTATGTTTAAAAGGAAAATTAATTTTTTTCAGGTGAAATCTTAAAGAAATTGAAATCGATATTTTAATTTTATTCATAAAAAATACTTAAAATAGTTTATATATATGTATGTGTTATTAGTATAACATCAAGACTGGATATTGAATAATTTACACAATTACTTTATTAACGCAGTGAGGACACGAGGTCAATGAAACGCTTAAGAACAGAGCGCCATCACGCATCTAAAATGTGAAACAGTGAAGCCTCACCCTGTCTTCGTATGAGGTGAAGCCTAAACCTGGTGTAAAGGTTAGGGAAAAGTTGTTGTTTTTTATTTAAGAAAAAAATGAAAAATTAAAAAAAGCTTTATTACGTAATCATTAAAAAATTTATATGATGAGGACTGAATGTTTAGAAGAAATGTTTTAGCATAGACAAACAACGGGAGACATCCTTTAATATTTATAATCAGCTTCGAAGTTTTGATGGATGCATCTAGTGGTAAGTTAGGCTATAAGTATAAGTTATATAAGTATAATTACTGAATTAGTATAAATTCTCGAACTTCGAAGTTTAATTTTAAAGGAGTAAAATAATTATCAGTTGGTGAATATTAAGTGTTCAGCCAGTAGTATAATAATCAAGTCGCGCAAAATGTAGACATATTCGCTAATAATAGCTTTCATGCTCACTTTAATTTTAAAGTTCTTAAACTAAATTGCTGAAAAACACCAGTACTTTAATTTAGAGCAAAAAAATAAATACATTCACACCTATTGTCCTTTTATTCTCCATTGATAAATAACACTAACGGTGTGGTCTTTGTACTACAAACAACTTGAGTTATTATGGATCAAGATCAGTGAGATATTACCTTAATAACTATTTGTTCAGTTATCGCTTGCATTGGAGTTATTTGAAAACAGAGAATGAAAGGGATGGTAGATAAATACAGTGGGAGAGGTGCCTGAGGATTAGAGAATTGCTAATGTTACTTGTAAGGGGGTGTTAAGAGTTTTCCTTGGAATTATACTTATAGACCAGTTAGTGCGACTTCAGTAGTGAGAAAAAAAATCTGGAGAGCTTGATAAAAGGTTTGCAAAATCATTTAGTGAAGTATGTTATCACAAAAGTATGCATGGATTCAACAAAAGGATATCTTCCCTTGCTAGTCAGTTAACCTTTTTGAGGATATGGACTTGGTGTACTTTGATTTTGAAGAAGTTATTTATAAGGTGTCACACAAAATATAAGCTAAAAAAATCATGTAAGAAAGTAAAAAGTTGTTGTTAATGGGGTTCAATCAAACATGGCCTTTGCTTTTTATTACTTACATTAGTGTTAATGATAGAGGCATTACTGGTAAATTAGTAAAATTTGCAGATGACATTAAACTAAGGTATTTATAACTATAGTGATGATGTTGAGTCAACTAAAAAAGGACTTGGATCAATTGGTTAATTGGATAAGTGTTTGGAAAATGGCCATTAATTAAATAAAAGTGCAAGTAATGTAACTGTATTATAATTTGAATAACATAGTGGTATTTAAGTTACCCAAACCATAAGGCAGTGCTTGGTTGCTAGTGACAGAGCTAATAGCTTCTAAAGTGTATATTTATAAATGTATTGATTAATTACAAGCCGAAAAGAGATAATTATCTCTTTATACAAATCAGTAGTTAAGTATTATTGGAATACTGTATATATATATATATATATATATATAGTTTTGTTCAAATCAAAGAAGAGATATTGACTTATTGGAAAGGGTTCAGAGGAGGGCTACTATAATGATTCTGGGAATGAAAGGGTTATGATGATAGGTTAAGACCTCTTATTTTCTGTTGAGAAAGGAGGAGTAAGAGGTAATCTCGTTTAAATTTACAAGATCATTTAAGGGATTGCTAGGATAAAGGCTTCTGTTTTCTTTCTACTCTATTATGAAAACATTAAACTGAGAGGACACAAAGTTAAGATTTGGCACCAATTAAGATAATTTTTGTAATAGGGTAATTGTTTTAAGCAATGAGTTGCTGTTTGTAGTACTTAGTGTAGCCCAACCTTTACAAGCATTTAAAAAGAGAATGAATAATTTCCAGAAAAACAAATAGTAGGTGTAAGTTTTAATTTTTGTCAAGGGTGGATGTACAGGGACAGACCTGAAAACCAACTAAATTCTTGTCATCCTTATATTAATAATTTCTATTAAAAATGTTATGGTAAATATCTGATATCCTGTGTAACATTTTGTCAGTTGATGTAACGAAGTGAAATGAAAGTTATTTAGATCAAAGAAGATCTTTATTGGTATCCATTTGCTGTTTTTTTCTTGTTTGTGAGTAGGATCAGTCATATACTGTAATTTGCAAGTCTTGCTTATCATTAATTATGGTAGTACTTAATAGTAGGGATTGTCATGAAACAAAATGGTGGCAATAACAAATCACCTGTTTAAAACCACTTTTAAAATGTGTATATATTAACAATGACTATTTCACAGTATTGGCTGAGCAAAACTAAAGTTTGTTGTACTTATGAAGCCACCTAAATCACTATATATATATGCGTTCATGGAGTAAATCAAAATTTCAGTATTTAAACAAATTTTCATCTAAGTAAGTGACTTTTCCTGACAAACGTACATAAAAAATGATGAATCTTATCACTACTTCTATAACAGAACTCCTACGTTTGGGGTCCCAATTATTCTTTTCTTGTAGAGAAAAGGATACTAGAGTTTTTTTAGTTTTAACTTTCTTTTTTCAATACTTTTTGTAGCATTAAAACATTCTATATCACTATAGCTAGCTAAGTTGTGTATATATCTATCCATACTTGTCTTTATGGAATTTAAAATTGTTTTTATTATAATGGTAAACTTTATAATTGTTGGATATATGAAACTGTTTGGTGTAAGCGTTATTATTTGGTTTTTATGACAACAGTGTTGAAGATTGATTGTCTTAAAAGTTAGTTTTGACAAATTTCTTTATGTAACTCTGTACAAGTCGTACTTTATGTTTTTAATTTCATTGTTGTCTAGGTTTTAGTAATATTGTTGACTCACATTACTCATTACCTTAACTGAGTATTGTTATATTATAGCATCACTCACATAGTTTATAGAATGTTTGAGGCCTCTTTGAACAACATATATAGGTCACCAAGCACAAAACATATAAATAAATAAATAAAGTTCAGTCAGAAAAAAAGTTGGAAAATGTTAAGTCAGCTGGCATGTGAATGATTAGCCATAATGGGTGGTATTTTAAAGTGAATTTCACGGTTTAATAAAGATAAGGAGAAGAAATAAAGTAGTGAAAAAATAGTTCAACTTGTCAGTTAGATTCTAAAGTAATCAAATCAGCCTGAGTGGACTTTTGACAAGAATAGGGGGAATTATTTGGAGTTTTAGATATAACTGTGATTTCTTATAGTGTGAAGAATTTTTGTACATGCTGTCTATTTTTTTGATCAAATTTATTGCCAACAAGTCAGACACCTACTGTAAAAGAATCCCAGCCCACACATTTACTTAAGACCCTGACAATAATTTATATTAGGAAAGATATACCAATATCATTTTTCTAAGAGAAACACTTGCTGTGGAAAATTCAGTTAAATGAT